TTCCTTGATTTTATTCACTAGTATTTTATCCGTTAAGTTTGCGACAGTAAATCAATCAATTATAACAGTGGAAAAAATATGACTCGGCTATGGAAATTTTTGCGCGTGCAGCGTCCGAGACTGCCCGCGGAAATATTAGCGATGCTGTCTAACGTATTACAACAGGTTAATCTCGGGGTTGCGCTGGAAAATTATAAATATATGTAGCGGTGTATCTCCCGAGAGATGGAACAAGTGTAACGATGAAAATCTTTTGAGAGCTCGAACTTTGATAAAATCGCTCGGAACTGTTGGTTCTAGTAGTGCGCTCTTTCCTACGCTAAAAGATATTGAAGAAAAGAGTACTTATTACCTGAAATGAAGAATAGAAGGAGAATGGTAGGAAATGCTTCGCTCATATAATGAATTCAGTTTGAGGGTGCTTTCCGCGTGCAAAGATCGAGCGACGCTGCTCCTTTCATCCCTCTATTCCGATTGAATAAACATGATCTATAATTTCGAGGCAGTAAAAATCTCTTGTCGAATATGAGAAATCTTCTGTATGAGAGCCTTTTTACGAATGAGATAATCACCGAGAAACAAAAATTATTCGTTGAATCATCATCGAGTCGACATCACGACATTCACGACAGTAGTTTTTATTCTTGGCGAGATGACTCACAAAAGTGTACTTTCCGAGCTTTTTTTTCCTAGCTCGTTGTGCATTCTAGTGAGTAAATTTCGCGCCACAACCCTTTTATGATCTTCGTAAAGCCACGCCGTTACTACTGGTTCTGACGTTAAAAGATGCACGTACCGGTACAAAACGCGAGCATCGCACGCGTATCGCTTCACTCACGCAACGTGCTATAAAAAAAGGGGAGAGAAGGGAAGCGAAGCGAAGAGAATAATCAGTGAGAGAAACAAAATATACTGAGAGCTCTTAAATTTCTTCACTTGCTCGACTGTGTATGCCGCTGTGAAATTCACTGCGGATCCGTAAGCGGAAAAAAATTTCTAGGTCGAACGCGAAGGAGGTGGAGCTCGCGAGAGTTGCGTATAGAAGAATTTGAGGATAAATTTTGCGCTCTATGCCCGAATTAAATTCCACGGTATAAAAAAAAATCCGTGTCCGGTGAAGAGAAAGAGAGAAGGACAGTATAAACCGAAATGGTTCTCCACCGGAATGGTTCGGTATGCGATAAGCTGATGGCTTGTCCTGCGTGCACTAAAAATACGATGCGAAATGTTACATTGACTGAAAAACGGATTATGTTATGCTTGAATAAGAGACACTTTGCTCGTCGATTTGTCTGTCGTAAAAAAAATATGTTATCGTTAAATTCACCGATTTGATACCGATAAAATCATATATTGTTTCTTGAAATTCAAATGAGATATGCTAGCAACAGTAAAACGTACGAGTAATTTAATAATTTAATAATTTTTTCATTTAGCCTAGTTAGATTTAAGACACTGTCTGTTGAATGACAGCTGGAGGAAAAGAGATTCTATCGCGGGTTCGTTTATTAAGCGTCAGTGATATTGAATATCTGAGAGAGGCACATATCTTCAAAGGGATTTTCCTGTTCATGGATATTTCCTATCCCCAGATATTCCGTGCACCACGGACGAGCTAAGAACAATGCACGAAATTAAATTCTTTCGAGTATAGAGGAGCTATGCGAAAACGGGGTTAGGTACAGAGGGGGGAGGGAATACCGTCCGATTCTATTTTTTCGTATAACACAAGTAAAGTGTGAACGCAGCGCGCGAAAAAATTCGAAAAATTCACGGTAACATGCTGTCGATTTTTTCGCGCGGTACATATTTAATCTCCCACATCACTGATTTAGCCCTTTTCCCCCGTCGCCCCAATTTCTGCCGCGAGAAGCGATATTCATTGACGTTCCTGTTAGAACGCCGAACCGAACGACGAACGTGTCAACAGATATCGGGGACAAATTCGAAAACACATTTCCGGTTAAATGAAATATAATAAAACAAGTGTTTACGACTCTCTACGACCGCACACAATGGCCGGTGCGATACGCAAGCGGCGTGACGGATGTCTATCCACCGCGTGCGAGGGTGGTCGTGCAACGGCAAATGGCATGTGATCTGTCCCCGGATGCCAATCGTCGGAAAATTTTGGTTCGTGGTAGAATGGCTGGATCAATGTTTCGCGAGTTGCTGCATTGGCCTTCTGATGGGCAAAGCGACCGCTTGCGCATGCAGTACACGAATCGCCGTGGACATTCCATTCGCTAACTGTCGGGCGTGCCCTCTTTTCTCTCCGCGTTTCCGTAAAATTTCTCTCTCTCTCTCTCTCTCTCTCTTTCTCTCTCTCTCTCTCTCTGTCTTTCAACAAGAATTTATTTTCTAATTAAAAAGATCGGGATCCTCAATGACTAATTAAAAGCCGTTAACCTTTAATGCTATGCATATTGCAGAATATGTATTATCAGAGTGTTAGCGAACTTCGAGCGTACATGCTTACGTGCGATAATGGCATTGAAAAAGCTGGAAGACGCGGACGGTATCAACGGTAACGATAACGATGTGGCAACAAGTGCTTTTAACATTTCTTAACAGTAATGCTCGTTGCATTCTTGGGGAAAGTGCTCGACATACTACTCTCAAAGGACCTCACCTTTGTAACAGCTTTGCGGGATGATGAAGCACGATGTGGCCGTTGGTGAGGCAGGAAGGAACAAGGAGATACGTCTCTTGCGATGTCCGGACCATTTCGAATAAATTCTTAAAGTAACCTAACGTTTCCTTTGTTTGTGCCGCATACTTCTCCTCTACCTTTTCTGCGGCATCATCGGCATGTCTGTTTTCTTCGTATGTTACGGTCTTGATCTTTTTACAATCCAGTTTCTTCCTATGTATTATATAGGCGCGATATTCACGGTATAGTTCTTTTACTTATACATCTTATTTTGGTTGTATTTTCTTTACGAGGTCTTTCCTACGAAGTGGATACGCAGTACATGTCTAAAGCAACCATCACGTATCGTTAAACATTCAAAAATTCAAAGTAGAGACAGCTTGTTTTTTAGTCGTTTCTCTTGTATCGCGGCGCAGCAGTTTTCCTCGCCTTTAGTACCTTCAGGAAGATCCAATTTTTCTCCGACATAACATATACCTTGAGCCGCTGGAATAAGAAATTCTTCAAACTTTCACGCAGAGCTCGCAACAAGTGAATTTCATTTAATTTCGCGCGATATGTTATGCAAGCAATATCTTAGATGTAATTCGAACAAGAGATAACGCCGTGTGAAATTAATACGAACGCCGTGGGGGTATGCAACGTACGCCGGTACTCTATTCTCTTTCTTTTTGCGCGGGATCGGCGGTAAGAAAGCTCGGGGAGGAGTACCCGATCTGTCAAGGCCAGCTGCTGGAGGGCGAACTACTTGATTTACGCCTTTCTTCCATCTTCGCTCGCGGAACATCCTCTTTGCCTTTCTCCGCCTTTCTCTTATTCTTTCCCCTGAATGCCCTATTTCATCAGCTTAATTCGCCGGAGACGCGAGTGGCCCTAAGTGTTATAAGCTAACTTTTATCTTACTTTTTTGCCCGTAAACAGGTTTAAATATGACAGCATTACCGTGAAAGTACAGACCACCGTGGCAATTTTCCCCATTCACCGCGAAGTTTGTCGATCTTCCTACGCATCAAAGTAATAATAAAGCCTATTTCGAAGTACGGAGGTTTCGACTGATTCGTTACCCGCATAACTTTTGCCTCTTGAATATTTCTTCCGCAAGAGTCTTAACGAGTTTCTGATTCTTAGAGAAAGTTTCTTAGGAATGATTATATTCGAGGCTTGTAGTTGCAAAACTCGTTAAATCCACTATAAGCTATTTTGAGCAGAGACAGGAAAAACTAATTGCTTGTTTTAACGGACCCAGATATATTTACGTATCCAATCAAAGCATGCTTATTTAAATAATTACCGATGCAACTTATATTTTTAACTACATTTACGTTTATATTCACTGTACGTCCTCGTGCCATCTACACACCCTGCTCTCTCTCTTTAATTATTTTTATTTATTCATACACGCGTAAGTAATAAATAGATCCGAGGTGTAAATTATATTTCATAGGGCATAACTTTACGGGGGATACGTTTTTATGTACGTTCCAGATAAACTTTCTCTACGGGGAGAGATTTGCGTCGTATAATTTTTTAGGGGTTACATGCGGGAGGATGGTTATTTTTGTTTGTCTGCGCTGTGGTTGTGAACTGCGGAGCGAATCTGTTTACTACCCAGTGTGTTGCGGCGTGATATAAAAAAAAAAGTCCGCACGGGGAGAAAAAGAGAGAGAGATATATATATATGATAAATTTCTGACATAAACTGCCCTTGGTTTCATATTCCTTCCTTCAAAAGCACTTCAAGGGCGTTCTTACTGCCACCTGCTATCGCCGTAAGTTATTGTCGTCCGTCATCAGCTGCAGCATTACTTTTCAACGCTGCGAAATTATGTGCGGATATATTTTAACATACGAAGTAAGAATTCGTTAGTCAGTTAACCTTTGGAGTGGGAGATCTATTTTTGAAATCTTATATAATACAACTGTTCCTTGAGTAAGATTTATTAATACAATCCATTACATTCGTTGCCTCAAAATTTGGCATCATTTTAGCACCACTAGCGGCTCCTGTCCTATAAAGGTTAAATAAAGTTTAAGGCTAGAAAAAGATTGCATTCACCTGTGCTTCTTTTTTTTCGCGTTGCCATATATTTTATTTTGAGTATCACATATCTCTTTGTAAATTCCATGCTTTTATTATGCCTCTTTCTCGAAAAACTGTTTCGAAAAAATTCTAGAAGAAACATCTGTGTTCTCTTTATATTTCGCTACATTTCACTATATTTTTCCTTCGAGAAATCATTCTGAAAAAATTCTAAAAGAAACACCTGTCCTTTATTTCGCGAAAGCACAAGCAACAACGACATTGTTGTCAAGGTTTATACGGAGCACTCTGCTCTTTCTGTTCCAGCGTCAAGACGGACATGGGTGCAGCTGGTGCGGTGTCTAGGCTCTACATTGCAAATGCAAATAAAAAGGACAGCGGGAACTATAGCTGCGCTCTGGCGAACGTTGCAGCAGCCACTATGGTGTCCGTCCACGTGCTAAACGGTATGCGCTTCCGCTATGAATATTTTTGTATTTCGATGCGTTTCCACATGGCATATATCATTATATATTATATATTATATGCACGACGCGAGAGAGACGTGACAATATCGATGTAAAAAATATTAAAAGCATTAATAAATGAAAATCGACCGGTTATGAATACACAATTGATGAGAGACGAATGAAGAGCATGCTGCAATAACTCATATTTTGAGAAAAATAAACTTTAAAGTCAAGTACTTTAGAGTTTATTATCTCCATTTTAATAAAATATAAAATGTAAAATGGAGATTAGTCCACTGCATTGTTGCAAAAAGGCCTTCAACCGAAAATGATTATTTGTCCACTTTTTTTTCTTAAGAAATATTCCGGATGTAAACGGAAAACGTCGTTAGCTTGAGTTCTACTGAATGAAAACCTGACGGGAGTTAGTTAAAACGAGCGGGAAAGTTCGATGTGTTTCTCCGGCGCGAGAAGGCCATTCTTCACGTGCGCAGCTCGAACGCCTTCGGGTGATAATTCGTCGTTCTCTTATAATTGTGTATCAGAGAGAATTCACCCACCCAAGCAATCAGCCGCGCTCGAAATCACAGTTAAAGGATCAGTCTCTGCTCGCTACCGATAACGGCGTTTGGCAGACTCTCGAAGGAGAGCTAAGGGTGCCGGAGCCACCTTCGTGGGGAGGCGGGAGGCGTGCGACGCCTATCGATATAATTTTCCACCCCTTTGCACGGTCGATAATTGATTTTCCACGGCTTTTCAACGGCGCCAATGCCTATTACCGTCCCCCTTTTCTTTCCTGCACCGCCGCCGCCGCCGCCGCCAACCCGTTTCTCGGCTTGCCGCCCTCGTTCGCCGCTCACGCTCCAAGAGGTTGGTCGCTTCGTCGCTTTCTTCTCCGCACATCTTCTTGCGCCAATCGATCGTGTAGGAATACAAAGCTCTGTGATTTCATCAGGGTAAATAACCGGCGCCGGACGCGACCCGAGAGACGGAGGCTGCACTGTCGTTGACGGGTCGCTCGATCGCTCCTCGTGATCTTCACTTGGTCTCCATTTCCGTTTTGCCGTCGAGTTTCTTGCGCCAAATGACATTCTTGACTGTATTAATAGAAAATAGTCCAACTCTCTCGATGCGGAGGAAAAAGACCGAAGATGAAGCGTAGGTCCTATATATATGTATATATATATATTGAAGAGTGTCATTAAGATGCTATTAAAATGCTGCTTTTATTCTTATGCTTTCACCCGTACATACTTATTCATACTCTTTTTTTTTCCTCGTGGAGTAACTTGTACTGTTTCGTGTGTCCCGACGACTCCTGTCTAATACCGGTGCATGGCGTATTCATAGAAAAGTTCGTTGAGAATATTCAGGCTGACCCATTTCTTTCTTCAGCAAGCCAGGCTGTCGCAAAACTCTCCTTCCTTTTGTACTTTTCTTCATTCTCACAGCATAGTCAAATTAGCGTTTAAAATGTACATTATTCCGGTAGTGTGCTAATTCTTATGTTTCTAATTTTGTTATGGCAAGCAGTGTAAAGGGAGGGAAAGTTTTATTGCGGGCACGGGGCGGATAGAATTAATTTATTGTGTTGATAGATAGTTCATTCATATTCAAAGTTACAAATAGCTATGTACAATTTAATGGAGGGAAATAGACAAATACAATCGGTCTTCAGTGGAATTGGCATTGGATAAATATTGATGCGATTTCGTTCGAGTTAATCGAATTCGATTAAATGACTGAATGTATTGTCCTAATTTACCGATACAATCCGGGATGTAATCCAGGAAAATTGCTCGGATATGTTTAGCTCGATCTGTTTTTCCGTACCGGCGGACAATTTTCAGCGCGTTGCTCCCGTTTTTTGATCTATTGCCGGATGACGGTTCTCGCTGTTCTCTTCCCCGGCGCTTCTCTCTTTTATCTCGCGATGACGTAAACCACGAAACTTTCGTATCACGACGAAATAGCACCGTAAGTCGAGTCGATGACGCGTGCTCTTGTGGGAAATGCCGCTAAACACAGGCTTTATAGTGGCGGGATGGGCGATGCCACTGCAAGGCGGTCGATACCCCGCGGTGGGTCGGGGGAGGGAAAACGTCTTTCGAACTTATGGCGAAGGAGCTCAACGAGTTTTCACGGCGGCTTTTCGCGCTCGGGGCGAAGAGCGGGCTCGGAGAGACGCCGCATCTATATATAGGTGATGTGCATTATTTACGGCGGATTACCTTAAGTCGGCCCAATACGAGAGTTCGATCTTCTTCCGGGTAAAGTTTGACGAGGCAGCACTCTGGGAAATACTTGTTCGCGACGTATAATCTACCTAGTTCCCTTTTAGGAAACGACGTTAATAATCTTTGGCTGCAGCGCTCGACCGACGGCTACTCCATCTTTTGCTGCGAAAGCCAGGTCAGAAAGTTTTGGGCTGACGGAGACGCGCGCGGTTTGTGTTCCGGAGGGAAGGGGGCGGAAGGAGGAGGCGAGGGGGAGGGAGGGGGCGACTTCATCTAAATTCGTATGCACGCGCCCTTTGGCACTTACTCCTTTAGCCAAACCTGTTCGATCAATACCCGGCTACGACGAAATTCTTAACTATGTTCCTCCTACGAAAACATATTACTGGCAAAACAAGCGTCTTATTATCTCGCGCGCACGAGAGAGAGAGAGATACGGCGGAGGGCCCGGTGGAGTTAGAGTTAAGCCACCGTTACCATAGCGCGATGAGTATGCGGAATGCGCAAGTCGGAGAGTTATTACCGCGGGTGTTGTATGCCAGTAACTACAAGAGCGATCATAATACTGGAAGTAATGCGAATTTGCTTGACAAGTAGTCGGACGCTCGAGGCTCGCATTCGAAAGTAGTTTGCCGTGGCGAGAGGGAGTCGATCCACGACCTGAAATTTCGTGTAGCTCTATGTATATATCGCCGAAATGTTTCCGTACTTCCGCACTTCGGGCACCGTCTATCCGTTTATGCATGTGATTGGCGCTAATGATGTCCATCGGAGTGAGCAATTTGTGAGAGAACGTGAGGGATTGTGGTCAGTCTTTGATGATCGCGGCATGAGCCGCATTCTAATATCTCGATCAATCGAAGATCGATTCTTCACGCCGTGCTTTGCATGAAACCGGATTCCCAAATGTTCCCTCCCTTTACCGGTAATAGCTCCTGGAAGCTTACAGCCATCTTCGGCAACAGTTCCAGCAAATTATATCCCGCATATATATTCTCTCTATGCGCCAGATTAAAGTAGATATCTGAGACGTTACGGACCTACTTTATTTTAGTCACGCGAAACAGATAGAATAATATTACAGCTTAAATATGTAATATATTAATATTTAAATAAACTTATAAATAAACTTCTTCAGTTTAGTATGCAAATTTAAACCGCACTTGTTGGCGCTGAGAGAGAGAAACGCGCTGGATGTAACAATTATATATACCAAATAATGAAAGCCGTTGCCTCGGACGTAGAATCTACGAAAAAGGAAAAAAAGAGAAATGAATGATTTTGATCTCTTTCCAAGCGAAAGACGCTTAGACGTACTTATAGCACTTTTCTCGCTCTATTTCTTTCCAATTAATATACCCCTTTAACGATATAGTAGAACACCTCTTTACAATTAATTATTCTCGAGATATGCTCGTGATTATTAATTAAGTGCAGACCGGACTGGAGATGAAGCGCCATTACTCGGTACTATCTCATCGTGTTCGCCCGAAGGGTTTTCTCGCACGACACCTCTTCCTCCTTTTATTTCCACTCGTTCCTTTACTTTGTGATCTTTTCACTTTCGCTCACCACTCGTAGAAAATTAACGTCGATAGGACCGTATTCCGGATAAGATATATCCACTGCCCCTATAAAACGTAAGCACGCTTCGCTTCGAGGAACAAAAAAAATTTAGAATAACGGTAGATGAATTCGAGTAAAAATTTGGGGGAATAAGTCCTGATGACAAACCCAAGAAAAATAGAAATAAATGTAAAACGGTAGAGTAGCCGCAGCGGATCGACCGGATGAGAGTGATCGATGAAAAAGTGTGGAGGAGCGCGTGAGTGGCGGACGGCTTCGCTCTCGAAAATGAGTAGTTCTTGGCCCAGTTAATGCCTACGAGGAGACAAGTGACTCGGAGTTGGAGCGGTAGTTGGCCGGTCGCTTCTGGTGTGTGCGCGCGTTTGTATGCGGATATGTGTACGTGTGTGGAAGCAGGGGTAGAGAGGTTATTTCGCGGGGTGTCACGCCCTACCCATTAATAATCGTAGCCGCAGGCTCCAGGAGGACTACACGTCGACCCGCCTCTATCCCTCCTATGACACGGAAGTCTGCCCTCGCCTCTTCGGCATCACTGCGCTCTCCGTCGAGTCTGACCCTCTCTCTCTCTCTCTCTCTCGCGCCTCATCTCCGCGTCCTTACGTCGTCGACGTAAGGCCGGGCGTGAGGAGTTTGCAAAGCTCTCGTCGCAAGACGTAGTTAACAGGCCCGTTCGCTCGCGCGCACTCGCGCGGCCATGTATAATACACAGAAGGAATCTCCGGAGAGCGCTTGACAGCTCATTTCGCATCCGCCTTTTTCCACCGTGGCGATCCTTTAGGTCCCCGGCCTCGGGCCGCCGACTCCCGGAGACCAGCGGAAACAGAAGAAACTGATATCCCCGAGTCTCGTCGACGCGAGTGCGTGATTAATCGCGCGGTTACGTGGAATATTACACAATCCTCGAGTCGCGGTAGCGCGCGAATTAAAATTTACGCCCGCGTCCGCCGGGCTAAGATAGCGAAACGACATCGATTAATTTTACTATAGCCGAGCAAGCGATTGCCGCAATTCGCATGAAATGCCGCAAATTGAGTTCCGCTCATAGACCCCTCTTTCGTAAATCTGATAGATATGTTCACACCGGGAAATTACAGGAGATAGTATATGTACATCAAACAAAGTCCTGCGATCGGATCTGGTGAATTTATGAAGGCCCGAATATCATATTGAGTACTTGCACGATGGTGCAACGTGATTAGTGAAGTCAATGAAATTATGCCGAATTTGCACGCTACATTACGAGATATCTCGTATGTATGCGTGCGGCATGTGAGTGATCGGCTGGTTAATCCGTAATTAAGCAGAGGTCGAATGGCGAAATACTCTGCATAATTCGTGTCAAATGAATAGATTTTCGCCGGCTATAGATAAATATTCTATAGGATCTAAAATTTTGATCTTATTTCTATACATATTTTAATATACACATACGTATATACATATTTTCTCAAGTTGAAGCCAAAATTTACATGAAATTGAATGAACTTTCAACGTAACAATTAAAAAGGAAGAATGATTTTTTTGAAATATTAAAAAATTCAATTAAATACAGATCTTTCAAGTCAATTGTTAAAATGTAAAAACTTTTTGCAGCATTATTTTATGCCCGAGCGATCCTATATAACAAATTACAGATCAGAGAAAATGATTGTGATGGTCCAATAATTATTTTCTCTGATCTGTAACTAATTTTTATGTACTTCAGCAAAACCGTTCTTTCCGTGTGTAATTTCATTTCTTTGCTGCATTAGCAAAAATATTTTCAAGACGAGACGTGAGACGAGACGGAATGTCTCAGTCCAGTGAGTATTCAGACGATTCAATTAACGAGACGAAAATCCGAGATTAAGAGCCGGTTCACCGGGAAGGCGCGGTAAACAGAGTTGTAAATTTTTCTCGTACCGGGAGCGTTTAATTGAATCTTGGGAAGGGATAGCCGTTCGTATGACCAGCCGCTAAAACTGCTACGTGGATAGCATGTTTTCGACTTCAGAAAAACTTCGGAATCGATTGTGCCGAACGTTCAATTCGCCAGGAGAGCAAAGATGAATTATGGAGTTAATTATAGAGTTAGCAGAGGGCGAAAAAAAAACACAGTGTGTGTGTGTGTGCGCGCGCGCGCGCGCGATTTGAGTAATGCTATTCGAATAATGCGAATATCAAATTGCGTAATGTGATTTAGTTGTCAAATATATCTACATACACTTTGCCTGCATCTACATGCATTTGGCACCGTAACCACATAACGCAATAATATATAATATAATATTACACGTTATAGCATCAAGTGTATTAAAACGTATATTATTATACTAATTGTATTTATAATTAAACATAGTTATACTGCTACATCGTCGGATTACATGTGGAAATGCAGAGAAATTTGCTTACAGCATATACGTATGCAAAAGGCCGTAAAGTTTAGAATATATTGTGTATATATATATATATATATATGTATTATCAATTAGACGGAATGCGAGGCATAAATTAACACAGCGTATTTTATTATTACAAATCGTACCTTCGAACTGTGCCACTGTGGAGGAAATACAGGATAATTCCTTTCCAAGCCATAACGTGTTTGTTACAATTGATAAAAGAGAATGTTTTTCCCGCGATTGCGACAAGCGGTTTCGATCGGCCATTTACGAAAATTCACGCAAACCGCAGCTCTTGTCACTTTTGAACGCGACGACCAGCCGTGAGATTGTGTCGCATTTGATATTTTACCACGAGATTTTATAGATGACCGAATTTCGCGTTTATATTTTGAATTTTTGGACAATTCAAAAGCCAAATACTGGCGTGGGCAATCAATGTGTGTATACCAATCTTTCGGCTTTTATCACGGTACCCCCGTGGCAGAACAAATAAAAGGATTGAAACGTTATTCCATTTGCCCGTCGGAATATGTTTCGCTTGTTACAGCGGAGAATAGATTGCTTACAATGTATATACAAAGTGCGAGTAGTCCTTATTTTCAGTCTAATTGCTTTTGAAAGTTAATTACCGAATGTATTTTCGGAAGCGGGACGATTTATCATCCGAGACGCCTTACGTTTTCCCGCGCACTGCTAATAAATTGAGACATTTATAACTAGACGAATAAATATTAGAGGCCCATAGTAAAGCCGGGCCAAAAGCGGAGGCAATAAAATCGCGACGATAATGGAGGCCAATAATTTCAAGACGCGAAGCTGAAAACAGCTGAAAAATGTAATTTAAAGACAGATAAGAAACGAACGGATGAAACGTTATAATAACAAGACATTTATCGACCGGCCTGAAGTAGAAGTTCGAAGTAGAAATATTGCTCTCAGTTATTAGCGGAGATTTCACACGTACAATTCATGTAGGTACTTCTCTTAAGACCTCTTCTCTTTTTCATCGCCTTAGAAAACCTCTCCTATTACTAAATTTTTAAACCGAGAGTGCAGTTCGTTCTCTTTGTTTCGAAAGATGAAACTAGCATTACCTTACCATAAAATGTGTAACGAATGCGTTGTTTTATTTGAAGGATAGCGATTTAATAACGCAAATTTTGCAAACGCTCAGTATACAGTCTCTCGTAAGCCGCAATTCGTACGAAATATAATACTTGTTAGGACACGTGTGTTGGAAAAATGATACCGGACTTTAATCTGCCACGCTCGCGGTGCAATATCAGCGAAATATCGGGGACGGGCGACGATTTTTCGTAAACATTTCAAATATTTTTCAAAAATTCGACTCGCGGTCTCTCTCCCTAGAATATGATACTCCGCGTCGCAAATAAAAACAACGGAAGGAAGGAGAGAGAGAGAGAGAGAGAGAGAGAGAGAGTGAGACAGAGAAAAATAGCAAGATTAAATTAATGGCGTTTACTTCTGGCTTCTGTTACAGGGGAGAATCCAGCTGCCATGCAACACGGCGGTACCACGGCCCCGAGGGCGACCTTTATCTTTACCGTTGTGATATCACTATCATCGCTCCTAAGGTGACCGTGATGACCCCGGTGCATTTTGGACCTGCGATCCGAATGGTGCTAACTTTCTCTTTCCCCTCCCCATGGAGACTCCGCGCGCCCGTAATGTCCCCCTCGAAACGGACGGAAACTTTGGGCATTAGGCCCTCCGCTCCTTTCGCGCATGCACGCGCGCATGCGATCTCTGCGAATTAAGTACATATAGAAACGGAAACGTAGGTATTCTGTACGCGCGAGAGACGCGCAAGTACAAGTGTGTGCGCGGTAACGACGGAGATATCACCCGGATCCGTTTCGATCGTGGACTTAACTTTTGGACAAGTGGCTTCGCTGTGCAAAGCACCGCGTCTCGTTGCAGTTTCGTCGCAGACGGCGAGACGGCGCGTATATCAGTTTCCACAGAGCATCTCTCTCGAGAAACTTGACTAATCGCTTCCAGCGGCGATCAATGCGGGATTTGCGTGGAGGGACGAATAGCGTTCGCGCACAGAAACGCACGCTGTGAGAATTTCAGGAAGAGGGAATGGAAACTTCACGTCGTTCTCCCTCGTGTTTGAGCTCTCGGTACTAACGTGTTGACGCTGCATTGTTAATGCGTACGTTATTTACTACGCGTCCGCGATGTTCAAACGCGGATACGTTAATTAAGGGAATTTCGTTCATGTGATATGTAACGCCCGACTATCTATACTGACATACGTTCGCTGATTGTGCTGAAAAAAAAAAAAAAAGAAATAGCCAAGCGATGATTCGATCGATTGCAATCGAAGATGTTCTCATTTTTATCGTTGTATCCTGATGTCTTGAAGAATTTCCAGATGCACCGCGAGGTAAATATTTTATCTTTTCTGTTTATTACTGATTTAAATGTGAATTGAAATTCGGAAGTGTATCGTTTGCTTATCAATTTCAATATATCATTTTTCGGAGGGTGTAACAACGAAAAACTGTGCGTATGTCGATCGAAGGAGATGAATTTTGCGAGGGTAAAAAATACGTTTTATAAAAGTTCGAAGATTTAAAATGTATGTATATACTTTTGTATATATATACTTTTATATGTATATTTATATGTATATTTGTTGAATTTATATTCTGTCGGTAAACTGTTATGTATACTGTTAGAATGAGATTAATTGTAAGATTTTTTGAAATGTCGAACGACACCGTCCAGAGAATTCGGCACTATCGACTGTTGACCATAATTCGAATTACCTTTTATTTTGACTGATCTGTGCAACTATATAATAATTATCCTCCATGTTGTCCACAGAGTAATAAAAGTATTCCCATTCGTTTTTAGCATCCAAATTTTGGATAGCTTCGAACTTCACACGCACATCTACATATCAGCATCTCTTTTACGTGCGTAAAATGCAAATCTTTAGACGAATCGAAGCTCCCATTTAAAAAAAATCAACGAATAATTGACTACGTTGTAATTTTTTGCAAACGAAATTACGATTGGTGCTACTGAAAAATTGCTGAAGCAAAACGATCGATTTTATCCCACATAGTGTTATTGTTACTCGATTTTATCTGATATAAAATATGGAAGCAATATTTTCGAGGCTCGCAATGGCTCAAAGAAATCGACGCCTTTGTCGAGCATAAAATAACGATTGCGATACATCGCCGTTGTTCACTGGTAGTTTTCATGCTCGCGGCACGAAAAATACACGATGAACGTGGCCGATGAGGATCTATTCATCGTTCGTCATTCGCTGAAAATACGCCTGACGTTGACGAAAATCAAGTAAAATTCGTTGGTTATGAAAAAGATATTACGTAATCATCGCGGCTGTAATAAACGTTACTTGTGAAAATTTAACATGTCCGTTTTTCTCTTCCAATTTTGTTGAGTATATCTTTATTAGCTTGCGAATCGCTGTAAATGGATAACTTCTGAAAGCTTTTATGCTTTTATAATTGTATATATATTGTTATACTTTTTATTTTACAATTAAAAAAAAATGAAAAGCTTGACGAAATTAAATTATTATTATATTACGGAAAATCTGTACAATCTTATAAGAATGAAAATAACTTTTTATTGTTGCGCAAGTGGCTTTCAGTCCGCGTTGTGTCCATAAATTATATGTTTTAAAGTTATTATAAATTGATTCGCATGACACATTATTGAAATTTAATTGGAAAAATCATACAAGCAAATGTTAGATAAACTCAGAAAACTCGAGTTAAATTTGTAAAACGCGCGAATAGTATTTGCATTTTCGAAATTTCACAGCTCGTACGATATAGCGGTAAGTATACGATTGAACGAGGAATGTAATGCAGATTCCGCTCGGGCGGAACTGCAATGTGCTGGGCCCGGGACGTGTGACATTGTAAAAGCGCGACAAGTCGGACAAGGATCGATCGGGCAACAAATTACCGATCGCGCCGATGGAAAATGAACCGTTAAGCAGCCCCGCCTGACAATGACGTACGGTTAGTTTGGCGTAAATCAGTAGTTTCTACTCGCGGCAATGCCCTCGTTCGCCGGCTGTAATGTGATAATTTAACAGAGGCATTATTGCACGAGCAGGTGCAAAATATTTCAACGAGGCGCGTGCGGCCGTGCGCGCGCTCTCTCTCTCTCTTTCTCTTTCTCTCTCTTTCTCGCTCGCGATCCGTTACGCGGAAGCCACATCCGCGCGTAACCAGCGCCCGCGATAAATTTAATTATTATTTCGAGCGAGAGGTAGAGAGAGCCCGCGAATCGAGGACGTGTATCGGGGATGCATTGAATCGTAACGACGGCTGAACGTTTCGCGGACAAACTTTCCATTCAGTCGCGTCTTCCTCCCTTGCCGCGCGCGCGCCCGCCCGTGCGGCCTCACCCTCGTCCCGCGGTTCTTCAGTTGATCGTCGGGCTTCTTTCGTCCCCGCGTCGTTTCTTAATGGAAGTTTCGAGACTAAGTCGTTTGTTCTCTATTTCCCTTGTTTCCGCGGCACGGTAAGATTCAGCCGGTCTTAAATCCGCGAGAGCCCAATTATGCGAATTAATGTCAAGCGCGCAAACTACGACTGACAGTTTTATAACTACGTCGGTGGCGCGTCGAGAGCGTAGATTTTACACGCGAACTATTCGCTGTCGCTCGCCGACAGGCAACACGACCGAATATCATCAGTTTCGATTGTTTGCTTGTTCCACGTTTGCTCACGCGCGGAATTCATTTTCGAAGAATATAGGTGAAAGAGCTTTCAGCGCTGCAATATCCAGGAAATATCCGTTTATTCCGTAGAAAATATTTAAGACTCGGAGTTTAATCTTTACTTTAATAAAAGTGATTTTTATTCATTTTCTTAGTTATCTCATTTAATTATTTTAATAAAATGTCAAAAGTGTAACTATATGTTATTAAGCCTGAAAGTAATTGCCTCGCATCAATTTCCACTCAAGTGAGCCCCGAAGATATTGCATGTTATTGAAATAATAATGAAATGAGATAATGGACCGCGGATAACATTTCCGTTGGTGAAGCACGTGAAATTTTCGTTGTTGAAAGTTATCATTTGAGTAAATTGTATATCGATGCAAAATATTATATAACGATTAAAAGCATTCATTCCAAAGATATCGCTTACAAGCCGTTTATTACGTAGGCTTCATTTGCGAACAATACAATTCGTAGAATTTTTAATATCAAGGCAAATTTATACGCTTATCTGCACACACACGCACACACACACACACAAACATAAACACTGCCTTTTTAATGGTCTTCTGCTCAGAACAGTTTTGCGTTCGGCCCTCGCTAATCTTCAGATAATTATCTCTAATTAAAAGTGGCCCTCCGGAATAAGCACTGTTTCGTTTTTAATATTACCCCCCCCCCCTTTATTTTTTTTTTCACGCCCGGCCCAGTATGCCGCCATTGTCCATTGTGCGCGATGTAACGATTATCGCTCGCTCGCAAAAGTCTCTGGATAATATCATATACGCGGGCGAATTGTTATGTATACGTCTGGCGCGCAGGGGTGGAGAGGTAGGGGAAGGGGGATAGGAGGGGAGACGCATGATTGCGAGCGAAATAATCTACGTGTGTTCGATAATGTAATTCGAAATTAGAAGTTAAGCCGCGGGCAGCTATATAATTTCTGAACGGTGCGGGAAGGACGTGCGAAAGTGTGGTGTATGTTGTACACGCCGTGTCATGCCGCGTGAATTCGCGCGCCGGCATGCACGTGTTTCTCCAATATATTCTATCATCATTAATCATATTTCATCCCCATGCATCCATACTAATGTATCCACGATAACGGTTAAAGCAAGTCTGTAAGCACATCTGTACGTTATTGGTACTACTATATCATTATTAATGCGATTAAAGCGAACGAACCCATGATGCCCAGTCGTCCATCAGCAAACGCAGTGAGAGAAAGAGAGGGAGAGAAAGAGAGAGAGAGAGAGAGAGAGAAAGAATGAAAGAGAGCGATCGCGAGAGTGAAATAGAAAACTCATTCAATGTCGGTATTCACTGTTCATTATTTATAAAGACTCGAACGCAGGATACAATAAAATGTATAGTACTTAATCTTGAGCATTCACTCATTTCTCCTCCTCCTCGTCACGCCGATAACATTTGTCATAAGATAACAAAGGAGTACTACTGTGTAGTCCGCGTCCCGGCATTTAAATAGCTAATTGGCTCGAGTTTCCTCCTGTCGTACGCATTAATTCCGCCGTGAAAAAATTGATGAACTTTTATTAATTCAAATTATGTCCTGGGAGCCGCGCTAGAGGAGGGGAAAAAAACCGTCGGGAGAGCATTACTTAGCATCCATTACGAAGAGATATCCCATTAATTCGACTCTATTGCATCCTTTATAGCCACTTTGTTCGTCGAAAAGGGAAACTGCTCGACGCAGGCCGAGACGATGCCCCTGTTTTTTTTTTTTTTTTTTTAACGATTGTCCCTGGTGAATGATCACGGAAATCGATGCCACGTCGGAAGTTACGTGATCGCGCTCTCGGTAATCGATATTCGTTCTGTATTTACGATATTTTCCTTCCGCGCTTCCCCCCCTCTCTTTTACCACTAAAAAGCATAACGATTATTCCGTTCGACGTGTTGGTTGAGAAGACTTATTCGAGGGTTTCATGGCGGTCTGGGGAAGCGACACAATGATAAACTCACTGGACGAGTCGAGCTACGATAAAAGCCGCCGGAAGAGGCTTCGCTGGAGTGCCGAGTGCCGGGCGAAAAATTGAAAAAAACGAAACGCGCGAGAGTTGGCAGAAAAAAGAACATTCCTTCCCCCTCCCCTCCCCTTTCCCCTCCCTCCCATTGCCATACTCCGGGCAGACTGGGTGCGTTAAGCGTCGCGGTTTTTAAAAGCTCCCCTTTTCAGCAATACACTGTCCTGGAAAAATACTAAATCAGAATGTTGGCACTGACGTTTGCTGTGAATGAGAGAAAAAGGGAGAAAGGGAAAAAGAGAGGAAAGAAAAGGAGGGAGGAAGGGTTGGCGGGAGGGGGTGGGCGAGGACGAGAGGGAAAGAGAGAGACAAAGTGTGGACAGACGTAAAGTATATTCTCACCGTTGTTGACGTAAACGACGTGGCGTAACATCGCGCATGAGTGTGTTTCGAATATAGGCAAGTTATTTTGCTGTCCGTAATTTCTTTTCGTGTGCAACCCGTTGCGACGTACCTCCCTCTTCCTCTCTCTCTCCTTTTTTTTTACGGAATTGTATCGTGGAACGTAAGCAACGCTCAGGTGTTAAAATATGCTAATACATTATATCGTTAAGAAACATCGACTTTAAATTCATGAGAAACATGACGACATAAAAATCCATTAAAATTCTCTTGAGAATGATCCCTTTTGCAAAAATGACAGGCGCGACGTAATTATATGTAAAATAATCACAACTTAGAAACGCGTAATACCGTTAAACAGCGCTTTCCCCTTTGTCAACGTTTGTGGGCGCACAACGCCACCGTTGATTAAGGGAAATATCACCGTATCGTTGTGATGTAGGTATTCCTAAAACAGCGCCGGTGAAACAAACCGCTTTATTTCGGGGATAGCTCTCGACCGTGCTGTTGCATACTTCCCCGTGCCACCATTGTCCCGCCGCCGCCGCCGTCGCCGCTCGCATGAGCAGCGTTTCTCTTTTTGCGAGGTGGCAGAGCAGAGAAAGACATAAACCCTTTGTCATAATTTCGTACTGCGGCGGCACGTAGTGGATGCGCGACACGTGGAATCTTCTGGCGCATACCGTTGGTGAGGCTATGCATCATCTCGACGCAGTCAAGTTGCGGATGCACAGAAAAAAGGACAGTGCGCGCCGCGCTATATATACGGTTACGCCCATAAAAATCACGTCGCCCGAACATTTGCGGGGTTGCGATTGTTCCTCCGTTGGATATATATCACCGCGTGCCGTACGAGTATTAAACGAGTAATGGATTAATACTCTTCAAATACAAACATACAGTTGAAAAAAAAGAATGTTTTATCCGTAATGTAGATTATCCGCGAGATGTTAGCGTCTGTATCAGGAGCTTCGGAATAGGGCGCACGACCGACTTCAAGAACGGTAGCTTACGTTACGTCAGTACGCATAGTGTACAGATACATGGTGTATGTACATACAGGGGCTTACGTACAAAGCTAAATGCGTATTGGCAGTCACCACGTTGCCTGTCGGCTTTGTGTACGTACCATTACAATGTATGTGGCTTGGCCGGGTCAACACGACGACAGAGAACGTCCATTACTTCATCAAACCCCGGCCCCATCGTCGACAGATCCGTCCACCGCCAATTTGCCAACAATCGCGACACTCAGTCAGTATAAACAGTTTGGCTCTTTGACTACGGCAAGTGGGATAGCTTCCAAGCAGGGAGCGCATACGCAGCTCAACGCCATGCAAGTGATTTAATTTTAGATAACGTAGTCCTCTTTTGCTAATTATTTCATAAAGGGTAAGCTGCTCCGCATTGCGGTCGGGATACGTAATAATGAAAAAAGCGGGGGAGTTTGACGTAATAATGCGAAAGGCGTGGTACGTATACGCTGTAAGAAATTCAGCGTTGCGTGCCACTTATCGAATCTGTGTAATCTCAATACTAAATCGCAGAAACGATGTCACGGGTGTGTCGATAGGAAGATCCATTTACATCTGGCAATCGGGCAATCGGATGCTGTGTGTTGCTGCAGCATGCCGATTCGTATCTCTCTTACAGAAATGAGAATATGGAAAGACGATGCGGTTGCCGGCACGGACGGTCTGGCGAACCTTTGGCTTAATTGTAGCGTTTAATCGCACGACGGGACGGGTCCCTCGATTAATTATTTAAACCCCCTTAGGCTAACGCTGAATTAATGGATGTGGCACCGCAATGCTACCGCGCGTATCGATAATTCTGCAATTCTGTGAGAACCCCTATTAGACCGGTCGGGTCCGTGCCAGGAACACGTGCCGTTTGTAGAATATAGATAACTCGTTTGTACATCTCATGTTTACGATTACGCCATTATTGCCGCTGCTATTGACGACTTGTATTCTCGACAAACCTTCTCGGAGAAAATGGATAGCGCGGGATTAAAGTAATTGAATTGGAATTTTGAAACTTTCCGGACGGATTTTCTGGAGAAATCGACGTTTTCTCTTAAATCGTCTTCAATCGGGGAGCGATAACATAATTTATTTTTACGAATTTTTCTGCAATTTTCCTGAATATACCGTAATTCAAAAATAGCGATGGATATACTTTCAGCGTCAACTTCTCTCGCTAATAAGATTGAATCAGGACAATACCGACCTTTCGAATGTCGGTTGCTACCATACCAAATCGAGGTCGTTTGCTGTCTTCCAATTTCGACTCCCGTCAAAACATAGACGGGTAAGGCAATAACTAAAAATGACGACAATTTTCAAGGCAATTTCAAAAGGGTGACGACAGAGCGCAAAATGTCACGATATTAGAGAACAGCGGCATTCGTGTGTCCCAGATATTTCAATTATCTGTTCTTTCGTGCACAGTAAATTTAAACACTGCGAAGTTTTGTCGAAATACGAGACGAAATTATATTTTCGTCACCTAGTAATGAGTTTATTTGCGATTCAGCTGAGAACTTGGGATTGGCGTCAACTTTTAAAAATCGTGTGCGTGCGCTACTATTCAAAATATCGCACCAGGGAATATCCGATAATCAAGGGACAAAGCACTTGCACTATCATGATTTCCTCACGATGTCCGGGACGCAGCGAGTCGTGGCGAGGCGAGGCGAGTTTGAACTGAGCTGAGCGAGCCAATCGTTCTCCTTCCATTTGCAAATTAAACGGTCACGTTCTTGATTTCAATTCTACGGAAGGCGATTTCCCCGAGTTTCCAATGTAACTTGTCTTAAACTCGGCGACCGGACGTTTAATCTTAATCGATCTATCCCGCCTTATCGCGCGGCCGATGTATATCAACATTTTTCCATTTCCACCGCTGACATCTCCATCGACCTTCCCCACCACTTGCGTTTCTATCTCGCTCATCCCCCCCGCTCATCCTTCCTCCTTTTATTCGCGCGTTCCTTTTCCATTTTACCATTCCCCCCCCCCCCTGTTATTTCGGTCGTCGATTTCTTTCCGTCCGCTCTTCTCGCCCCGTTTTTCCGTTCACCGTGCTTTCCCGCAGCCTCGACTTCGGGGAAGCGCGATTTCTTACAGATTCCGCAACTACTCCCGTTCGAAAGCATCCCCTTAGCCGCCGCCTCGGAGTCTTATCTTAATGGCTTGCCTCGGCAATCGAAAGTTTAGTTATTATCGCGGCCGTTGTCGCCCCCACTTCGCGAACTATACGGCGGGATCGCGCGGAAGCGTTTTAGGTGTTAGATAGGGACCGTGGAAATTACCAGTTTGACACGTACGCATGACTACGAAGGCGGAGACGAACTCCCGCGGCCGCCTTTGCGGCGAGAAACTTTCGATATCGGACAAGTCGGATCGCTTGGAATAAGAGGAGACGACGCGAGATCGCTCCGATTTTTGTGCGATTCGGTGAAAGACGGTATCAGAGAAATATACGGCGTAAATTACGAACTATCGATCGTTTGTTGTAACTTAAAGTTGATCGCGCGCCGTTGTGTAATTATCAGTTGCCGCGTTTACTTCGAGCCTTTATCGGAGACATCGCTTCACTGATCTTTCTAACTTCACCGTTAACAAGACCGGAGACCGTCGCGCAATTATAATCGCTCTCTTACGTCTCGCGAATATGCGCGACTCCTTCAGTCTCTCCAAACAGGCAGTAATGAAATGTTTCCACCGTTGCCGCAAACGGAGTATACCGCAGATATCCGCTAGTACCAACGTCAACTCATTAAGAACGTCTCATTACTAGCGGTAACCGGGTCAATTACTCATAAGTTCACTCCTAGTGCTCAAGACGCCGCACAATGTGATTCTCCCGCGGTATGCAAATACATATATTTAACTGTGAATTATAACATTCAACGTGTTTCAAGAAAAAATGTAATTTTTTTAAGAAATGCAATTGAAATTATTTGTTTTACAAGTCCCTTCCGTTTTTCTTTTGATAAACGAAGATCGCGCGCGTGTCTCGCATAAAACTATAGTCTTCATTACGACACGATAAAGTTTTAGGTTATTTCACATTTAAAAAAAAACAATGCGGAAGTTATAGGCATCGTAAAAGGTAAAATATGAGTAGAAAACGTGCAATAAATATCGCGCTTGTTGGTCGCCACTACGGAAAAATTGATATCGAACGAGTGGGTAATGCATACGAAACCGAGCTATAAAAAATTGCCTACGTGTGTTTTTAGGATTTTCACGGATAAAGCCCTTTCAGGTTTCTTTAGCGACCCACCGCCGGGACCCTTTGATGTTTATCGGGCGCCTATAAAATTTCGCGAGAATGTTGCCAAAGGGCGCCAGATTCTCGGCGGGCCTCCGAATCAATTATTCGAAAAGAAATATGAGCGAATTTTTGAAGGCGAGGCATTCAGGGAGCCGTGGCGCGACGAGGCGCAGCAACGGGTATGTGTTTATAATATGCGAAACTACGGGAAATCAATATTTGATGAATTATCGAAAAATAAAACGAAAGTGAAGTGAATAAAAAGAAATGAAGAAAGTTAAAAGTTCGTGCGTAGGGCTCATTACCGTATCGATTGAGATTTAAACTTTAATTAAATCGCTGTCAAAGAAATTTATATCCCCTTCTTGGAGACTGTCGTTTCATAAAGTTTAATTATAATTTTTCTAATGTGTATGCGCGACTGAGATGCATTGATCTAACTGAAATTGCTCGATTAATCAATTGATTAAATGGCTCGTAATGTCGTCCACACTTTCTCGTTCATTGAATTTTTACTTTCCTCTTTAATCGTCTAATTATAATCCAACTTGCATATGATATGATTTTTTGCTTTGCGGTATTAGGGAAAAAGGATGAAATCTTTATGGCTTTGATATGTACAATTTTACTCGATATAAACGTTTTCAGATAAAAGACGAGAAGAGGAAGATTGGCGGTCCCATGTTACCGACATCTCCATCGAAGAAACGCTCGACGCCCGGCGACTGGTATGGATGCTTTGCTAAATCTTCTTACTTCAGTCCGCAGTCGAAAGTGGAACCGAGAAAAAAGACGCCACCTAATATGAAGCTCAAGCCCAATCCTCTCGGCGGCCCGGGATACGCGGATATTTGCTTGAGTCCTTATCCGGCGTACTCTCACGAGCCTTACGATCGCATCAAGAGAGTAGGCAAAAGTAAGTGCGCCTCCGTTATGCCGCTTCCAATCTGATCTCCACTCCCTCGAACAACTTTCGATAAACTCGATGGCATAATTTTTAATAAGAGCGCATAAATTTTAAGCGATAGCTTAGAAATGGATACTTCAAAAACGGTTGAACGTTTATATTTTCTTTTTTTTTTATATTGGAAACCAAGCGAGCTATTGCTCGTTCGTAACCGGCGATAGAGATTTATGTTAGAACGAGTTTATTTCGTTTATTGAGCTGAAGGAACAACAGACGAAAAGTGCACAGAATGAAATTCGATATACACATTATATATATACACATATATATACAGTTGGATTTATTAAGTTTCTCAATACAATCGTCAATACAATTCCCAGAATATTTCGCGAAAGAATTGTAGATTCCAATAATGATAGATTTCTATAATGAGAGTCTCGTATATTGGAGCAACTGTTGTTGAGCAACTTTCTTTCTCTATTTTCTCATTTTATCACGTATGTTACAGCGTATATTAATACATTATGTATTAGCGCATTTAGGAATACATAATTCTTTTGCGAAATATTATTTGTAAAATACATTTTGCAAATCACATTGAAGAAACTTTTATTGAATAGTATATATATATATATATAGGTATATAATTTATATACTCTTTGATAAAAAAATCTAGCCTTAATATTTTTGTCAAAGAATGTACTCGTATATCAATAATGGCAAATATTACTAATATATGTATATGCATATATTAATAACAGTAGAAAATTATTCTATCATATATATGTTTTGTACAGTTAATAAAATTGCCAATTAAAAATATTTTATAAAATTTTGTCGTTTTATGACTTTAATTATCTTATACATATGTGTAATGAACGTACGTACATAACGCATTATGAGAATTCCTCTCCAATTACAGTGTGAAAAAAGAATAATGAGAGAATGGAACATAGACACAGATTGAATTTTTTTCAGAAGATTTCCTTCGTTTTATGTGGCAGCACGTAATTAATTACAGCTTTATCATAAAAAAAGAATTACGTTGGCTTTTGAGAGAAAGGCATTTTTAACTTTTACATAAAATGTCTTCGAAATGCGTTCGGTACCAATTAAATGAAATCTCAATTAGTATATCATAAATGTTTGAGATTCTTCTAAAAGGGAATCTCTCAGAAATCCATCGCATTAAAACTTCTTGTAGATTCTTCGTAGAATTAAAAATTGCTTTCAATTTATTCTTGTACGATTAAGATTATTATTAAGAAGACTTTTAATAAATATAGCTATGCAAATTGTATATACATTATATATGCATGTTTAATTTTTGACAGTTTTATAATGCTCGCTTAGTAAAAACTATTCATTTAGTAAAATATTTCTCGAACTGTTGCTTACACTTCCTTCTCTCTTGTTTAATTTATAAGTATTCTAAATGTAAATCATCACTTTGGTGGAACAGAAGTGGTGTCTGAAGGCCGATTCTTGACGACTAGTGCACCGTTGGATTATTTCCCCCCCAATCCTTACGAGGATGAGGAACCAGGGCCCACTTACGTCCGTCCGGTCCAGATTGCAAGGAAGACACTCGGTCGATTCTACGTCCCTTTCCCCAAGAAACCCGGCGGAAGTCACGATGGTTGCTTCAGCAAGTTTCCCAAGTACACGGGCGATCCTTATGTTAAGGCTAAGGGTAAAGCTGCCACTGAGCCCAAGTTTATAAGCGGCGGACCATTTCTACATTCGAAATACACGAACAGTATTATCGCGCAGATAACGAAAATATCGTGCAACGCCCGCAATTATCAGGAATATCGAGAACGAGCGTATCCTATGCACTGAGGAAATCTTTTTAATTGCGCGGAAATTGAACTCTCAAACTTCTCGTTTTTTTTAACTATTAGGAGAAAACTTCTTCGTCCGTAATTATCAGTCGTGCTGAAATTAATTAAAAATAACTAGATTTGATGTTTCTCCCTTTGTCTTTTATTCGTGACTCTTTATGTGGAGTTATCGTTGTGTTTGTTATCGTTAAGTAAATTACTTATGAACGAATTAAAAATAAGAAAATAAGAACGAATCAAACCGATCATCACGATACCCGCGAATTTGTGCGTATTTCTTCATTAAATCCATTTTAAAAATTCCAGTTGAAAATGACATTTCATCCCTAATTTTATCCTAAATCCCGATAGAATTTCCGGAAGGTTTTGAATGCATTTCTATTTTATCGCATCCGCAATGCATGCGATTTCGTCCTAGCCACGGCCATCGCCTTCTGCTATCGCGCTTCCGTCCCTACGATGTTGGGCGGACAAATCGCTTTTCAGCAATGGCCAGTGGCCAAGTACGGCTGCAACAACGTTCAAACGGTATAGCCGAGCCCTTTCAAAGTGAATTACCCCGACGCGTTCGATCTTACGGCCCTAATGAAATTCTAACGAATGTTCTACCACCATTGTCGTAGAAGTTCATTTGTAATTAAATGTCTCCAATAAGCGTCGTGTTGTACTCCGTACAACAGGATCATCAGGCCGACGACAAGTAGAAACCACAGTAAAATCTGGAAGTGAGAAACCGAGGGATGCACTTTGTATTTGACCAGGGATAAGCGCAAGAGCCACGCGGAGTGCGTAATTGTGCGGGATGTTTTACTTGCTGCGAGTAAAAAAAAAGAACATTCCTCTTTCTTGACGAGGCTCGTATTAACGAGCGAAAAAAACTTGGCAAAATCAACGTGTATGTTACATCGTTTGTCTTGAATTGTGACCAGTATATTTTAGTAAGCTGTCAGCGCGCGAAGAACGCCAATTCCTGCAGAAAAAGAAAAGCCGTCGCGTGCGCGGCAGGTTTTCGAAATTTATTATTTCATGTAAAAATAATACGTCGGAATATATAAAGGACGTTTCGATTAAAGCCCACGCGATACGTATTTCCGCGAGGCGAACGAGACAGGTGGTGAATTTTTCTGGCAAATGAACTTAGTATCTTAAGCCGGAGGTGTCTCGCGTGAAGTCTCGCGCGCCGCCACGTCACGGCGAGCGCTCTATACGTATAGAAATGCAATAAGCGTTTCCGCCTCTGAAAAATTTCTCGTGGAGCACGTGGCAGACAAGAAATGGCAGCGGGTGGGTATGATTCCACGAGATTTATTCCGCGGTTGAAGCCGACCATTTCTCCGTGCCGTGTCGTTGCGCCGGTATTAAACATTCCAGGCATTGCGATGCCTCTCCAATACTCACTGGTCTACGTAGAAACGTAGGAGCATCGTGCAAGACTCGGCTTGAAGCAGTCGTACGACTATCCACGCGATATATACATCGATGTGTATATAATGGGTGCCTGTGTGTGTGTATGTATACATGTATATATACATGTATGTATATATATATATATATATATATATATGTATATATACAGGGTGTTCGTCGTAACGGTCCGCATGATTTTTGAGACACTTGCGACAGTTTGTGAAAAAGATTGTAAAAAGAACAAAAACATATTTATTTCATATAAGCTACTTGCGAACTAAAAAATCAAAAATTTTTTTATTAAAAATTGAAAATCATTTTGACTTTTTTAAATAGCACTACATAGAAACATAGTACATACATATACATATATACATATATATCAGTACGTGCGCGTTTGCAAAAAAAGCAAAAGAAACGAGGGAATAGCTGAATCAGGCAAGAGCTTTTGTACTTACGTGAGAATGTGGAGAATTCAATCTGAAATAATATATAAATATTTATAATAATTAATCAATTGTAAAGCAAATCAAATTTAATTAAATATAATTAATATTACAAATAATTACGTCAATATACGTTTTAGATTTACTTTGAGATTTGTTAAGATTAGTTAGGATTAAAAAAAAATTCGTTTCTGCTATCGTCCTTGATATTTATAATACTTTCTCATAAAGATAATTGCATCAAGATGTTCACAAAGCACCCGGCAGCTTTTTAATTAGCAAGCACAGATTGCAACAAAATGCACGTTTCTCAAATCAGCCTTTCTCGGGCTTTATAACTTAATCATTATCGGGAAGCGGATGATTATATCATCGTCGTTCGGTTTTATGTATAAGGTCTTATCATTTTAAGAGGTCAACGAGATTAAAACAATACTCTTCTTTCCGCGCACGAAGCCCGGTAGACATCTTTATCTCGGTGTCCGCTGAGGAAAAACGGGAAACGTGATTTGATTTAGTATAGAGAAAAGTCGTGGCACAATTCGCACACTGTACCGTGATTCTTATTTCTACATAGAATTCTACACGGAATCACATATGTATATATATATATCTACAGCTTTATATTCATATATATATATATATATATATATATATATATATATATAAACTCGGAAAAATTATATGCTGTGAGAGCGAATGCACCATAAATAACGTGACCGTAACCGCTCGTATGATTTATCATCGTACGATTTCAATGCTTCGATGTCCGATAATTAAAGAGCGGCGACCATACAATAGAATATTCGTCTCTTACACCGCAGCGAGCCTTTGTTAAAGAACGGTTACTGAAATTTTCATACATTAATATAAAATATGCAGGATTACAAATTTTGCTGCGCGTGTATCCAAAGGTATTCCGTATGGAGATTTTATCATGGCGATATGCTAATACGAATAAATTGGTCCACAAGAGACCAATTTGCAAACGTAGAAGCGAGAAATCGTCGTATCATGCCATTCTTGCCAATCGATATTTCGTTCTTACAATTAAAATAGCGAAGTGAGACGTTTATATTATCTATTGTTTTCATTCTTTCACGATGAAGTCTGCGATTCTTATTTTCCTTGTTTTCTTCTTATACCTATATTTGATTCGTTATTTGTTGATTGGTATGGGTAGACGAGACGGCACGGTGCCAAGAGACGCGGAAGCAATAAACTGCAAAAAGAGAAGAAAGAAGAGAAGGTGCAAAAGATCGCGCAAAGAGAAAAAGCGACGACGGGAGGTCGACGACGATTCTGCGAGGAGTGAAAAGGGCTGGTGGCAAAGACGAAAGAAGAGGGGTAAGGGAGAGACAGGAGAGGAGGAGAAGAGGAAGAGGAACGGCCGATAGCCGGTCGAGGAACGGCGTTCGGTTTTGCCGGCTTGGTAAAGAGACGAAAGAAGGAGATCATGCGCGGAATGAAGGAGAGTGCATACCTGCGCACGAACGTTTGGACGAGGGGCCGAGGAGAGATGCCGAAGAGATGGGAAGGCTTTCGGAATGGAAGCAGGGAGGAAGGCACAGAGCGCCGTATGCGAGCGAGCGAGCTTTCAGCGCGAAAGCTGCCGTAAAGCCGGCCGTTTCAACGAATGTTAGGAATATCTATCTCCACGAGCTAAATCCAGCATACACATTGTAAGAATAGGTTGAATGGGGATCGCTGGGTGGGTCTAAAGAATATCGAATACCCGCGTGCTACATATTCCTCCGACGCGCGCTGATCTTGAGAGCACCGGGGCATTCTCTCCCTCTTTCTCTCTCATCCGTTTATATAATATCGCCTTGCTGCACTTTCGAACTTCTGATCCACCCGCGCGGATCCCGGGGTTCGGTATCGCCGAATCGGTGTCGTGTCTTTTCGAAGTCAAAAGCCTAGGTGAGAAGCGGTTTTATCGCGCGTTTGATGGGACCCATTGAAAGCGGATACCACCGCGTTCGACGAACGATCGACCTGCGAGACCGATACGCCTCGGCGCTTTTATCGTAGAGCCTGTCGTGAAGACGGTCTTTAGCACCTGCGCCTCGTTTTGCTCTCCCCACGGGGTTTATTACTGAGATACATTTATTACTCAGGTTACCGCGAAATGTTTGGAAATGCACGTTGTAAAGAGGAACGTGAAGAAAATACGCGGTGACCACGAGATCACGTGTGTCGCGCAATTATATGATTAGGATGTGACTATGTGAATGGATACCGTCTGTGCTACCGGCGCGTCTATCATGCCTCCATGAATTCCCACGCCGGCGTATTCTCAATTTATGAAGAAAGTTTAGACAGCTGTCTTATTCCTGCGCTACAAAACAAAGTGTGAGCTCATCGATCTCCTTGCATAGACGGTTCGACCCGGCGCGGCGACGCGCGATTAGGAAGTTTGCGAGCGAGCCTGCTCGAAATTTCGACGATAGTCACGGTGGGCACGTCAGCCCGTAAATCGTCGTTACCGAAATTGGAACGCGCGCGTTTTCACGCGGTCGCAGGAACGATGGTCAAAGTGGGTTAGATGGCCAAAGCCTCCCTGTGTGTCCCTCCCCCGATACAACACCATGTCCTATAAAAGTGTGAAAAAATTCATTATACATACGTGCATGCACACGAACACATGGCATATATTGATATCGCTCCATACTTTATAATACTTTTAATCTCCCGTTTCTTTATCGAGCCGTGACTTAATATATTAATTTCTTGATGACGTTATTGCCTTTCCACTCTATCGACGAACGAATCACTGTCACTGTCGGACTTGAATTCAAAAAAACGAGTTAAATTGGAGTTGGACGTGTGACACGATGCCTTGTCGAGGGAATGGCAATCTATATGCGGAAATATTGCATTTGGGTTTTATTCGACGTTACCATATGTCTCTATTCTTTTGATGCGTTAAATTTTACAATGAAATATTCTTTGTCCCAACTTAAATTTTTTTTGTACTGAATTTAGAACGTGAATGTTTCCGACTGCTCTACCAGATATGAAATAATTCTTCCGTACTCTTCTTATTAACTAACTAACTCTTCTTATTAACTAACATTACAGACGCATCGCGAGTGCAATTTATTTTTTTTTTTTACTTTTTATTATGTTTGCTATTACACATCAACCTCAATACACAACTGTAAAAATATATGCAATGATAGCCGCTCAACGAAGTAGTGAGACAACAATCAATCGGCATCGCGGAAAAGCAATATCAATACTTCGAGAGATTCTTTGTATAGAAATCTGTGGATTCTACACACATACATAAAAATCTGTGATTCTACATTACACAGAAACTATTTAATTGTTTAAAGCTAGTGGAAGCTTTTTTTTATTAACGTTATAGGCGATCTGATTTGACAGTTATATCATACTTTTCAATAAATTTATGCAACTGTGATATCCGATACAGCAAGAGAAAT